AAAAGAAGAAAGGACATGAGTAAGATTAGGACCAATAGATCTCTATAGACTTTAATATTGTTAAGTTTTAAGATAAGTTTTATATAGTAGAAGATGGATAAATGTATACAAAACATCTATGTTCTGTAAGAAAATCTGTCGATGCATATATAATGAGGGAACATCATAAAACTGTGTGTAAATTCATAATAGTACTATAAGATGATGAGATATGCCAATTTTGATAGCAAATTTGGATTCAGCACGTGCCAAAACCCCCTACGATGTGAAATAATGTTGACATACAATGAAAGACATGGGAGAAAATGCATTCGCGCATAATTAATTAGGCCGACGGCAATAAAGTCATAAAAGCACGATATGGAGATAAGATATGCCACTTTTGATTGTATATTCGGATTCAGTGTGTGTCCAAACCCCTTAGATGTGAATTTGGATCAGATATGTTTAAGTATAGTGGAATTATTGTGGTTTTGCATATGTAATTAGGGGGACTTAGAAATTTTTGGCATTTTGCCAAAATCAACAGTTTCCATGCGTGCTCCCGAAGGGCATATTGTTCAATATTTCAGGATTATGTATTTCTGTAAATAATGATGCAATGATTCTGGTTTTTACACATCATTTAATATGATATCAATAGAGCATTGTACAAGTAAATTGAAGTCTGTGTGATGTTTCGTTTTTATGATATTAGCATATGAAAAATGATAAAAATGGCGTATCTTACCGACTTCGTAACAACGACGACCCCAAAATGGGGACATAAATTACAAATATCTCCGCCATACAACATCCGATTTACTTCAAACAAAAACCATTTTGTTCAGTTTAATGAGCTCTTTCTAAAAAGCTACACTGTTAATGGCTAACAACAAAACAAAATTTTTGTCCGTCAGTGCCCCCAGTCCCCCCTCTGTAGCAGTAGCTGCAGCATCTACATTAGATACCCCCTTCCAACATGCAAAGATTTCATCATTACATACAACTGCACTATAACAACCAGTTTAACAAGCTAAAGTTGCCCCTGACCTTCTCCTGTACTGCCAGGATGCTGACTGGGAGGCTGTTGATCTTGGTGATGGTCCAGTTAACCTGGTAGTTGTTCATGCTGTACTTGGGTTTCAGGCCCTGCTGCCCAGCCAGGCCGTCAGGGTCAACCGCTGTGATCTGGACAGCAGGGAAACAACACAGTCAGGAATGAACCAACAAAACAACCAAACATTAAAGAAGAGATGAGAGATTTCTGAATTCTGAAGTATATTGGGTTTTCTTGGATGTATTAGAATGTATTGGTGGGGATTGTATGATGCAATGTAATCGGGTATTATACCACTTCCTGAAATCCTTCAAATACAGTGTACCACCCGCTTACTCTCACCCGGTGGGTGCTGGGTCACCAACAGGCTAGATATCCCAATCAATCAAGTGTCAAAATCACTTACCATCCTTCATGCAACAGACAAATAAAAATTCTACATGAATGTTAACATTTTATGGGTTTGGTACCTCTGCATGGTTTGTCTTGATGTCAATGCCAAGTTTCTCTCCATCTGTGGTCCTCCTTAGAGTGACCACATTCGCATGGGGCAGCCGCTTGACAAGGAAGATGATCTGGGACAGCAATACAAAATACATTAAAGAGCGTCATAAATCAGCAGAGGAAATCTACAGTCTATGTAGGAAACTAAATTTATTGTGTTACCATACAGAATTACAAAATGGTACTACGTGTGGTAGCCTATGTGCCAGACTGTTGCCAGGATCAGTATGCAGGCTAGCTCTTCGGTTCCAGGGTCAACCTGTCCCCAAAGAAATTTTATGACAGACCCTATCACTAGGGCCCTAGGGCCTACATGTGTATACTAGCCCTGAGAACAGTCTGGAATCCAGACCAGTGTATAGGAAAATGCTAGCATACATTGTAACATCCAATTTTGTTATCTTTAAGCTGTTTATTGTTCATTGATTGTATTGTATTATGTGTTTTGATTATATTGTAACAAACTATCCACTTCAGGGAGACTTTTGTCTTTCCCTGCATATGTATGTTTGTGGTTGGAAAACCAATAAAGATGTCGTATTACATAGATGGACCATTATTTTGTGCATCAAGTGGAGGAATATGAAAACATGACTGAGTTATAGATGTGATGATGTGACTGACAAGAGACTGACAGAATAAGAGCCACACCTGATCCTTCATGGACGTCTGAATGGTTCTTCTGGCATCATCAGCGGTGTTCACTCTCTGGTCGTTGATCGCATAGACACAATCTCCCACATAGAAGTACTGCTTCAGGGTCGGGGCCTCTTTCTCCTTCCATCCAGCAATCCTAGTGCCAATGACAAAAAAGCAACTAATGAGAGACTGACAGAATCAACTTCCCTTGCTCTAGTGCATGGTAAAATCTTGTGCCTGCGAAGCTGGTGTGTTACGCCGAAGGGTGGTTATACCAGCTATACAGATACAGATCTCCAGACTCTAAATGTTCATACTGTGAAAGATACTAAAATCAACAAAACTACCCAGTACAAATAATGTATATAGAAAATTAGAAAGGTCTTCACTATTCAGTGAATAGACGTATACCTGACAACTTGACAGAAGAAATAGAAAGGTGATAAACTTACCACACAGCACTGAAACATTCCACGAAGCCCAGTTTGTTGATGACCTCTTCTCTGCTGAGTATGACCTTGATCCCTGCACTGTCCATCTGCTGCCGAATAATCCTGCAGAAAATTCGGAGTTCGGAGGTCATGAGTAACGTTATGGGAATAAAATTTTCAAAGAATGTACTGTCAACTTACTCTGTCCAGACAAACAGACACACAAACCCAGAGGTCAGCCATCCTAAAATATTACTGCTGTAGCAGGAAGTACATGTAAGGAATCATCCTTGTCCCCAGCATTTCAGTGCAACTGAACCTACAAGAAGTACACTGTATACTGGGCCAGTATGTCTGACTGATGACAGATACTTACTCTGCCTGAAGCTCAGACGGTGAGGGGGGCAGGCTGATTCTCGAGGGGGGCAGGCTGACTCTTGGCGGGAGGGGTGGGGGCTCAGTGGGAAGGGGTGGTGGTCCGCTGCTGTGCAGTAGGGGTAACGTGTTGGCTCGTTTCTTCATCGTCGTGTCTGCCGGAGGCGCCTCCATTCCTGAAGAGCCTGACCTCGATCTGCTCAATGGTGCATGTGGGCTGTGGGAGCCATTAGGTGACCTGGGGGGACTGTGGTCATCGCAGGAAAAGCTCCTCGGTGGCAATGCTGTGAAACCAATTGAGAAGCAAGTGATGAGATCATTTCTTTAAACAAACAACAATGTATCAATATTTCACTTAGAACAATTCTCTACTTCTAGTAACCTAAGGCTTACACTTGGATAAAGGAGAGATTGTTTAAAAAAACTTGGGATGAAAAGATGAAAGTGTAAAACAATATGTAACCAAGGAGGTTAAATACAACCTCCTTGATGTAACAGAAAAAATTGTCACACAAAATATCACTTACCAGGCCTCCTGTGCTGCCGACTATCCACCTGCCTTCCCAGGGTAGATGCCTTAGGGGCTGCCTGTGGTCTGGAGTATCTCTGTAACAGTTCTCTCTGCTGCTCCACAAAGGCAAATTCATCCTCCTGGCACAGATTCTCCTGCTTCAGCATGCAACGGATAGTTCTCCTTTCACTGTTATCTGGGAGTAAATCAGCCGCAGCTGCTTCCATTGCTTTTCTTATTTCTGACACATCCTCTCTATCTTCCTCATCAGATTGGGACATCTCCCCACCACTACTCTGTGCTATACTGTCATCTTTTCCCCGTACCGCATAGGATCCTGGTGTTGAGCTTGCTATTTCTTGTGAGAACAGTGGACGTATGCCGTAGTGACTATCAGGTGAGACCCTACCAGTGGGCAGGACATAAAGGTCCTCCTCCCCTGAGCTGTAGGGGTTTTCTACCGCTGCCTCTGACAATAAAGACATAGGTGTGGTCTCAGTATCAGGATGCTCTCTGGGATGGGAGCCCATCTGTTCATAAATATCTTCCATCTCTGCCTCTTCTTTCTCCTCGTTTCCAAAAACTTCCTCATCATCCAGGTCTGCTTGGGAGATGGGGATTCCCTGCTGAGGTTCCAGGAGCTTCGTGATCGGAGCACATGACTGTCTCAGTGATGCCTTCCTCGTCTTCACCCTCCGAAGCCACAGTTTCTCATCCTCAATCACGTGGATGTTTTCGTACAAGTCTTCTTCTTGATGTCTTCTTGCAGTGTCAGCGTTCACATACACTATATGGTGTCGCAGGCAGCAGGGCTGGCTTGGATTGTGCAGGAGACGGTAGTTTGGCTCCTGTCTCTCCTCCTGTTCTCTGACATCTCCCTCCTCCTGCAGCTGGTGGATGAACTCAGGGTTGAAGTCGAAGGTGGGTGTGGAGGACAGCGGCGACATGGGTGTGTCTGGTGGAGTAAAGGGCGGGCTCGTGCGAGAGGATCCACCACGGGCATGAAGAATGCTGAGTGGCGCCGACGTTGCCTTGTCTTCATCGCCGGGCGACTGCTGTGCATCTAGGCTAGACTGGCTGGTCAGGGCCAGGCACGTGGGACGTTGGATGGTCGGGGACGGACTACGTCGTGCCGGTGGTTGGATTGCTGGGGTCGGACTATGATGTGCAGGTGGTTGGCCTGTGGGGGTCGCTGAGCGGTAGACAGCAGCGTACAGCACGTCTGGGTTGGACTGGCTGGAGATACTGGAGCAGCGCGAGCAGCCGGAGGAGGAGCTGGAGCTGTAGGGACGAGGACTCGGCGTCTGTGACGGGTAAACGGCAACGTCTGGCTCGGGCTGAGAGGGAAGAGAATAACAGTCAGACAAGATTACAAGACAGTGGCAACTGGAGGTACTCATTCCATTCCCATTGTTTCAAGAAACTAGTACTTAAAAGTCCCTCCAGTAAAAAATAGTCCTTAAAAGGTACAAGTATTATCATCACATTGGATATACAAACCCCTTGCTTTCCCAAAATTTGTTTCAGCAAACTAGTTCACTGCCAATTTTAAGACAAACAAGAGAACCACCTACCAGTGTGGCAGCTTGTAGCTCCATTATCAGTTTTTCAACATGTCTGTCCATTACCAATCTTTCCCACTTTTCAGAAATCAATGTTTTCAAAGACTTGACATAGCAATCTGCACCTGTGGTTCCCTCTCTCCTGCTCCTGCGAAGGCGTTTTGGTTCCGGCCAGGTGCAGAAATCAAGTAACGCTCAGGCGTGTTCTCTCGTGGCCGCGGTCCGCATGGTTGTGTGGTAGACCGTCCTCGAGCTCTGTTCTGGAGGGCGAAACCCTGGTCAAAATGAACAGAGTCATGAGAAGGAAAGAAAACAAGGGCCTTTCACTCAAGCTTAAGAAATGTAAGAATTGAGGAGAGAGCCCGTTGACGTTAACTTCTTTTAATTCATGACTGACAGATTGTAAATAAAGTTTCTTGTTCATTATGCTGATAAGATCCTCATTTGCATGAATTATATCAATTGATCACTAACAAAAACATAACCTTCTGCTGAAGGTAACAAACAGGTTGTTTTGACCTAGAAGCTGAATATAGCCGCTGACTCCAAAATAGACGTGACTGTGTGCAGCTGAGGCTTGGCAACCCTTCCACTTTTTTACTGCCTCCCCAACGCAGAAGTCACAACACCAGGCACCCCGCTGCCCTTCCCCCCATTTCATAACAAACCCTGACCATAAACAAACCGGCCCACAGGCTACTGTGTGCAGGATTCATCAGTGGTTTTCTGATCAAAGCCAGGCTGCTGCCCTTCAGGGGGCCAGACTTGGACTGGGGGAGGAATGCCAGTCATAGTTGGCAGTTAACACTTTGAACTTGGGGACTGTCGTAGAATTTCAATCGAACCCACTGGAACAGTAACCTCTGTAACACAACGTACTAAAGCAGATGCTTGGGAGATGGCATGACAGTATTCAGGACAAGCACCTCTCCCTGCAGCTTCCTGCTCTTTAAACAGCTCGTATATCTAAGGTGCACCTGATCAAACCTGACCTGTCAACTTTGACCTTTGGAAGAAGACATCAAAGTTGATGAAGATTTTAAGACTACATTTAACTCGACTGATGACAGATTTGCCTCCTGTTTTTTGCCTTTGCCTTAATAAAAAAATCTTTTATAGAATAATTTTGTGCTTTGACCTTGACAAGTAGCTGTATGTGCCAACCTTGAAGTATTGATAAGTAAGTTTGTGTGCTAACCTTGATGTATCCTAATTCCTCCAGATGCTGCTGCAGTAGGTCAAACCAACTCTCCAGGTCCTCCCTTGAAGAGAAGAACATAATAAAACGCTATGGTGAAGGTTGACTAAAATGGCTATTACAGATACAGAACATCATCATCATCAGAATCTTGTCACAACATGAAAAAATGTAATTTAGCAACAATGAAATCTTCTCTCAAGACCCACTCTCTTCTCAAATAATAATGCATTGCTCAATTATTACAGTTCTTTGAGCAGAAGAGGTCTCAGTTTCAGTTTATTTATTTCCTTTACATTGATATACATTTGTACATGTAGCACTGTACGTAGCTGTCCTTATAATGGTGTTACAGTAACACTTTCTAACCCAAAGTTGTCTTACTTTGTCTCACAGATCAAGAAGAAGGTTCTCCCCTCAGAGCTGGTCACAGTGAAGATGTTCTCAGACTTGTGCTTGCTGATGATGTCAGCAACCTTCTTGTCCTTCTTGTCGCACAGCTTGATGATTTCCTCGTAAAAGTCCGCCTTTCCGAACTTGATGATGCCTTTTGGCTCGTCCTTCCTGGAGCTGTCCTTGTCCTTGTAGTACTCCAGTTCCAGTTGTTGCTGGGGGGTGATCCGCAGAACAAACCAGCGCCACTCCCAGGCCTGGGGGGTGGGAGACAAAGTACACAGGTCATGGAGGGGTAACTACTGCAGGCTCTGTAGGGGGATACTGTAAATCGTGACACTTTGCTGTGGTTTTAGTCTGCAGCAGTAGGGATGTTTTCACAGTGTTTTGAATTTGGAGTTAGAACAAGTCTGTAGTACAGTAGTCATGCAAGGAAGACATATTCATGGTGTAATGAATTTCTTCTGCAAAAATAAAACCACCATTTTACAATTCACAACATTGAAAGGCAACGAATTCTGTGTTCACTGATAGATGGCATTTTTAGGTTTAAGTACACAATACTACAACCTGAACCTGATATCATCATCAAATTCAATCACACATACTACCTGCTGCCAGTCTAACATTGGTATCCAAACAGCTATGTCAGTGTGCTAAAGGTTAAATCAAGTTGATAAACATCTAAAACTTGTGAATCCAGTCATTACATCAATACCCTTCAATGAGCACTGCTTTCGTGTTGTTATCTTGATTGCACAACTTCCAAGAAACTCTGTCTGGTCCCAAGGGCTGGTGGACTAGCACGAACCACCTGTTGTGCTGACAAAGGCAATTACTCCAACAACCAAGTCTGATAAAGGAAAGTCCACAATCCTGACATTTTTTTTCCTAAAGTCAAGTCACACATCAGGAAAATACTTTGCCACATTATCAGAAAAATATGGCCTGTGTCATCTTCATCATTGCGCAAATATTAGGCTAGGGACAGGCCGATGTTCAGCAGTCACTGAGTCGTATCCAATTTGATTGGGTTGATTTGGGGGAGAAAAATATGCTTGCTTGACTCTAGCAATCTTTAAATTAAAAAAACCTTCTGGCGATGAACAAATTGGGACAAAGGTCATTAACAGTGTGACTTAACAACATGTTTACAAGGCTTAACCATATACATTACAGCAATCCTCACATAAACTAGTCTCATATACTAGTATATATTAAAGTTGCCTCATATAAAGTTGTGGAACCAGTGAAATCCAGATCTTCCTGAGCCGCTAAAAACAGGCCTGGCAAGTCTGAAGCTATAAAATAAAATGACACTCCTCTAAAACCTTTGACATTGTAACAGTTCTTTCTCTTGCCAAACTCACATGACCATCGTGACTCAGGTCCTCCCAGGAATTTTTACGACTTCCTAGGCTGGGCAATGGACTTTGTTCATTAATTTCCGATAAAAACCCAGACCTCTGGTCCAATTTGCAACACAGAAGTCCAGTTGCCTGGTGGAACAGTCAGAATTCGATCAAAGTCGACAGCAAAAATGCAATAAACACTGTGTCAACAACTGCAACATGCAAGGCACCATCAGGCTGAAAAATTCCTGGTATTCAAAAGTAAAGCCAAGACTACAGAACAACAACAGCTTTTACGAAAACCTGTTGACATCCAACTCTGTACCCTTGACATCATTAACCACCTGTGATGGCAGGAACGTAAAGCATGAACCTCGCTGCTAAACTTGTTTTTCTTCGACGTTTTTAGATGACCTTAAAGGACAGACAAATATACACTGTGTTAATGCCGGGTTAACACAGCTTAAGGCTACTTTGTTGCCATTTCTGGTTCGCATTTTTCTGAATCAAGGTCTTCATACTGGATTAACCTAAGGATAAGAAGATTTTGAAGATGAGCAACATGTGTTTTTCACATTGACGTTGAACACACAATACTACACAATATTACCACACAGTATTTCTATGTTACACTGTGTTCTGATAGAAGCATGCCCATACCTGAAGTCACTCAAAGTGAACTGTTACCCTGGATTGCAAGGAAAAGAAGAAATCAGCGATTTCAGACTTCTAGTAAGTGAGTGTCTTGGGTTTTTGAGAATTATATGATGTAATCTAATGGGTATCACACCCCTAAATTCCTTCACATACCGCCCATATAATCCTATCACGTACATGAGTCACCTTCAGGCTTGATCTCCCTATCAATCAACTGTCAAAATCAACTCCCACCCTCCACACAACCAACACTACTTCGGCATACATTTGTACAGGCACACAAATCCACGGCTCAGCCAACAGAAATATACTTCTGTATCCAGAGGTAAGAAAACAGCACACGGGTTGAAAATCATCTCAGCTTGAAGCAGAAGAAAGTTGGAGCCACCACAGTAACTATCAGGATCTGACAGGTGGGGACTCATGACCACTTCACGTGATGGGGGAATTCCCACTTTGGCAGCTTTGGACATGTTTTGATTGCTGTGTTCAAACCACATGTTTGAGATGCCAACGATAACATTACTCCCCAGACCTTGAAGACCAGTGAGTCCTATTCCTGTGGCCTTATCGGGGAAACAACTGGCATTACCATACCGAATCCTTCACTGGAAACCATCAGAAAAGCACATTCCTTTCCTATGGTTTCATTACGGGCGGATTAGAGGTAATTGGACGTAATCATGCTGGTGATGTTTGTCTGCAGAATGACGGAAACATGATAGGAGGAGCTAAATTCCCTTAATTCTATCTCCACAAACTTTCTATGTAGGAAACCTGACTTAGGTTAGCCACAATGGTTCAGCATTAAGCCTGCCATTTTCTTTCAATTATAGAACTATTTGTTTTAATGACTGATTCAAATTCCTACTCAGCATGACTAGCATTAGCACTTGTCATGCTGAGTAGCATTAGCACTTGAGATCTGACCATTAATTGCTGCTTCAACAATGTGATTCTAGTGAATGAACTGTTAATATAATTATAAACGGAATTAACTGTACTCATACAATGTACATTTTATTTGATAAAAATTGGTTATGTCTGATAAAGACATCTTGTTTGTAAAGCTTTGTGTAGATCTAATAGCCTGGATGCCATCCTACTTGTATACAGGGGCGCTCCCAAAAAATACAGGAAGAGGGTTTCTGGTAAACAAATACAATACCACCCAAGCTATTGATTTGACTCAGAAATAGGGAAACATACATGTATATTGCCGGGTACTGTCATTGAGCTGTTTAAGATGCTTGAAACAAATCACTCACAGCAGACCAAACCCACCCAATGTACATTAGGAAAAGTGAACCAATTCTTAAGCCTAAGTTAAGGGCCGCAACTACTACATTTGCACAGCTTCTTCCTCACCTTAAAGACAGATGTCTTCTTGTCCAGTGGGGGGGACTTCCTGAGCCAGCCTTCCTTCACAGCTGTCCCGTTCCGATCCTCTGACGACCCCATGGCCCGCTGCCACGCTTCTGCCACTGAGTAGTCTGAGGGAACAGGAGAAAGGGATGAGAGAAGTAGAAACACCTGAAACACCTACTTTGATACACTGCACCCGTGAAACTCCCTTCTGCACCTGCTGCCTGGTACCTCTACTACTAGCCTGGGTGCCATCCTCCACAGCTCCCTTATTGCTGGCTACCATGGTGCCAGTGAAAAGGAAGTCAGCGGCTACTACGGAAGATGGCAACGTGGCTACCTCTCTTCTGCACCTGCAATATAACTGCTGTACCTGCAACCTACCTGCTATACCTGAAACCCTCTCTACTGGACCTGCAACCTGTTACACCTGCAACCCTCTTCACTGCACCTGTAGTTGCAGTACAACCTGTTGAAACCTGTACTCCCTCTCCACTGCACCTGCAACCCTCTCCATTGCACCTGCCACATACATGCTGTACCTCCTACACTGTTCTTTACTGCACCTGCAACCCTACCTGTCACACCTGCAACCATCTCTGCTGCATCTGCAGAACCACCTGTTACATCTGCACTAGCACACCTGAATCTCCCACCTGTTTTGCACCTGCGATAAACCTAAAGCCATACCTGTCCCATCTGCAACACTGCCGCTTGTGACACACACTTGGCCATTATTTCCTGGGCCTGCCATTATACAGATTTCCTGTCCAAACTTCCCCCTCGGGTCCACTGAACAATTACACACAGAAAAAAAATGCTCTTAGCAAAAAGGAGAACTTTTGGTTCAATTGGCACACTTAATTTCCTAAGGAGAACCAAGATCTTCTGAAGAACTGGAAGTCCCAGTTGCATATAGTCTAAACTGAGAAATACGAGCATTTGCTTTGGTAGTCAGAATTTGCACATACACCTAGCCTCCATTGCAGCCTCTATCTGACGTTTCTGCCAACAGTTACGGGCAGTTTTCTGAAAGTTACTGGATTTCAGACGGCTGTTGAGATCTGATCCTGCTCCAGTGACTGCTTCAAATTAAATGTCCACTGTCAGCTGGGGGTCTTATGTAATATATCACCATAATAAGGAAAATTTACTTTGTGACAGTTATTGATTAATCACACTTATCTAGTTAACACTTTTTAATCAGCTGTATGCTGTAGGACATTTTTCTACCCAATCTGATATGTGAAAATCAACCCACAAATTTCTGTGTCCCATGTGAATATTGGAGGAAACTTGTCTTTGGAAATCAGGAATATTATTGTATTTATCCTTTATTTTCTTGAAGTGTTTATTTATCTTTCTTCCCTTGGATAGAAAGTACTTCCTGCTTGATGATATGCTGTAAAGCAACAGTAGGGGGCATAGCAAGCTCTTGTCTCTAATAACTGTTGTCAGCCCTGATAAATTACAACAATAGCTGTTGTCAAATTATGGACATAAAAAGCATTGTTAAGTTTTAAATCATAGCAACGTATAAAACCAGGCTCATAAAACAGCACCTAATGTTTAAAAGGAACTTAAGATTATGCCATGATCAAGACACAGTCACATTTCTCACTGTAGAATTGACGCCAATAAAAAATGTAACTGAAAAATAAGTAATAAATTATCAATAAGAACTGGTTTATTAGTGATGAACCGTGCATAATGAGATATTCTACGAAATTTTAGACCAGGAAAAGTCTTCCAGAAAATATCTCAAAGCACGTCACGCACGCCAAGAGGTTATCAGCCAGGGTCCAATATGCATTATAATACAACCAATCAGCGCTTTACTTAAATCATCTTTTATAGTCATTGAATAAATATGCTGTCCACATAAAACTAACAGTTCCACGTAAGACTAACAGTTCCTACTGTTTGCAAGAAAAAAAATTCAATTCCATTCAACGACTAACGTTTTAGTTATATATTACATGTACATGCATAAATCATATGTTTCACACAAACAACATGAAACTCCCATGACTAATTAGTTGACCTAAATCAATGAGGAGTAAAAAAAAAACGTCCTTGCTTGAATGTTGGACTTTGAACAAACAGCTTTGTTTTGATTTAGTTGTCTTGAACAAATGTTTGCTGTCCAGAGATGAAGGTGCCTTCCGCACAGTTTGCTGACTGTGAATCATGTTCTGCTTGGATGACAATCAATTTAGTTGTAGGACTCTGAGTGTGTATGTTATGGTGGGATTGTTGGAGTATGTATACATTGTACAGTATTATAGGGTTTAGGTCAGAGACAAACTTGTAGAAGTAGACCAAAATTTCAAAGTACACATGTCTGTATACTCCAAATGTCTATATATATTTACAAATGTGTAACTTAGTAAGAACACAGATATCTCAACTGTCTTCAAAATGTACCATGTGTCAATACATGTAGTAATGCAAACCAACAAGTTGTTTAATTGTTTCATTCACACAGGTACTCACTCTCACCCAGGTACATTATCAGGTTAGACACACGTGAATGCAACCCTAACTGCTAGCAGAAGGGACTATAAACTAGAAAGGCCGACATTTGCTTGGGAGCAAATACAGCATATTTCAGTCCATCTCCCTCCCACGCAAAAATGGACTATTCCAAACTTACCCCAGTGCAAAACTGGCAAAGGTTCTCAAATAAATGAATTAAATAGTAGCTATATGAGAACAAAGATGCAACAACAAGTACTTTGAATCTCGAAAGCTTTACTAATCTTATTACAGGTATGCAAAAACTAACAATGATGTCTTGAGATTTGATACATTTTGAAGGTCTTAGGCACATAAAATTGAATGTGTGGGTCATTACGCACCACTTAGGTGCAATGTGACCTCAGGTAACCCGCAATGGAACACGTGTTCCATGGATGGAACCGGACATTCTTTAGATAGAACATGGAACGGGTATAGCACTTTTGGCCCTTTTTTTTGCTGAAAATAGCCATTAAAGTCCCCCAAATGAGTCATTTGGAAGTGGTTTATGCCAAATATGTGACTGCTATTCTGTAGACACATGTTCAAGGTACCCTTATACCGAATTTCAGATCATTTGGTTGTAAAACCAGGGCTCAGGATCCAAAAATCCATTTTTTGGCGAAAAATGCCCCAAAAAACCTTCTTAAAAAATTTTCAAAGGCATGTATCAAAAAAATGAAAAAAACGCCTGAGGGTATTGGCCCACTCTACCTCCATGCCAAATTTCAAGTCATTTGGCTGAATGATGGCGGAGTTGAATCCCTCTGACTGTTTGGCAGGAGGAGAAGAAGAAACATGAGAGAACACAATATATTTCATCCATACCATGGTATGGACTGAAATATAACAATAGCAAAACTGCATGTCAACCTTTAAGTACAGAGGATCTAGCAACAGTATAACAAGCTCCCAGGTCCCAGACAGACAGTAATAATGTCCCACCTGTGTCTCCTTCACCCTTCATTGCACAGCTCAGAAGCAGACATTACCGGCTTCACCTGTCTCGCAGGTCCTATCTGCCGACCCTCACGTAACACTGTGTCAAACTGTGTGCAGTCCGCGACGGTTAAGCTGGAACTTACTTCCTCCTGTGTGCTGATTGGTTGGTACAACAAGTACAAGCAACACCTGTAGGGATTTTCCCAGGCAAGGGCTTTACTGACTAACTGTGTGCATCCAAGTATTTCAAACATCCCTTTTGATATCAGAACTTCCTCTTCTAAGAGGGAAATTGTGTCAGGGACAAACCTACATGTACAGTCCTTACAGTAAAACTAATTAAAAAGCGGAAAATCCCCATGCTACAAACAAAGCCTCAAGGAGGTATGGAAAATTACAAGGTCAGTTTGAAACCTGATCAACCTGTTACCTGGGACTTTCCTACAAGATCTATATGTGTCATACAACAACAACAAGACTTATAAATTGGAGGCTAAACAACAAAATTTGATTAATACAGATATTTTTTTCACCTTTATGTGCTTTATGTGCTTTATTAAACTCCATAAGCGACACACAAGACATTGGTACAAAATCAAGTATGTAGCTAATCTTCCTGGAGTTAAAGTAATAACAATACACAACAATAGTATAAAAACACTACATCGAAATTACAACATTATTTACATACAACATTTAACTTAACATTTAAAAGTAACATATCAACCTTTGAAACATGTTACATAAGTGCAAAGGTGTAATCAAAGGTACTGGGCTAACGGTTGGAAGGCAACATCGCTAATGGACTTTGAAAAACCTGACCTAGTCAACCTTGCAAGTATTTGTTTGTCATTAGGTCAAACATCAGGTGCACCTTCTTTGTTCACTAGTGTTCCTATACATATATGTCTAGTTCTGCCTGAAACACAATCTATTTTATAATGTAGTACTGGTATGTGTGTGTACATGTGTTACAGGGGGTGTGAACAGAAGACCAGTGCTGGTGACATGTTTTTGATCGGTGGGAGAGGACAGAATACAGAGTAGTTTAAGGCAATACCAGTAAAGTTTATCCTACAGGACGTTCATGTAGCTATGAGCAGCCAGTGCCAATGATCATAATAAAGCTATGTCTAACTGAACAGTGGGGTACCACAAACCTCCTGGCTGTTTCATATTTCAGTCTGGCTTTGTGGTATTTGGAATAAAATCAAAGATGACTGAGACACCACCGGCTGGTCATGGCAAATTTAACTGTCTGGTCAGAACTATTATATGCTTTTGATTTTGGTTTAGAGCCAATAAATGCATGGGTTATCGGCATATCACTTTGATAGCTGGCCACCCCTGTACCTTTCTCAGGCTGGAAGTCTTAGAGTAGAAATTGGCCAAAAGGACAGATAATAATTGCCAGGAGAGTTGGTCTGCCAAAGACTGGGAAGGACCAACTCCCCTGGCATGTTATCTGTCTATTTGGCCAATTTCTACTCTTTCCACCTGCTTCTAGAGGCTAGGGCTATTTAATGGACTCGGCTATACCTATTATTGGTTTTGGTTTTTGGTTTTTATTGTCCAAACAGTACCCATGCAGTCGCAGCCTTACGGCTGAATTGATGCAGGGTATCACACAATAACAGTGGTCGAAATACTTTTTTTCAGTGCTCTGCAATATTGCAGAAGAGTCAAAATTTCGTCCTGCAATTTGGAAACACTTTCTGCAACTACACAAGCCCCCATATTACAACCTTCTGAAACCAATAATGCCTATTCTTACATCATATATATATAACGTTAACGGTAATAGTTATAGCTTTGTAAATCTGTAGCATTACTGAAATTCTTCAAAATATCAATCTTTTAAATATGTTCGGACCGTAAAACTTTATCGGTCCGGTCCAAAAAAACCGAAACGTCGGTGGACCGTTTTTTTTGACCGGAACAAAAATCCATATTTGTTGTTACTGAATAACTGATGATCACTACATACAAAGAAGCCTGCCAGGAAAATGAAAATCCAGCCTTCAAATAAAAGAAGTTTACCTTAGTCTCCGTCTCTCTCATTTTGCAACAATATGGTTTTTCGGAGGAGCCATGTTTCCTTTGCCGTGTTGCCTGCTGGGAAATGCTCAGCGAAAACTGCCGAAAATTCACGAGGCAGTTGTCGGGTCCTCCCGGGAGACGAAATCTAACATCGGAAAATGGCGAGTGCCCATATTTGGTTATCGTCGCCTTTCGTCGCCTTGTCGAAATCGTTCAACTTTGACCCCAAATTCCCTTATATGGGACCATTACAGTCTGCTGGAAAACGCCGGCAGGTTCGTGCGGCGCAGGTTTTCGATCTATTCACAGCGCCACTGCTTTGCTAATTGAAAACTATTGAATCCGGAGCCTATTTTTTCCTTCTGCAAAATTGCAGATTGTAAGATTTTTTCTTCTGCAATCTTGAAAATCTATCTGCAAATTGCAGACTGCAGACGGGTATTTCGAACACTGCAATAATCAATACAAATCACAACAATTACAACATTCAAATAATACAAATGATACACACAGTCGCAAGGGTCTGTGCAGCTGCCATTCGGCGCCACAAGATGACCTCAATACGACTTTCCCCAACCGAAGTTAGGTACCCATTCACACCTGGGTGGAGTGAGGAAATTCGTGTAAAGTGCCTTTCCCAAGGGCACAACGTCGGGGCGCATGTTCAGACATGTACCGGGTACGACTCGGAATCAAACCCGGGTCTACCGGTTCACAGTCTATTGTTCTAACCACTACACCATTGACACCCCTACACCTTGGTCTACACCAGGACTTGAGCCTATAGTTGGCTCCTACATATTGTAAGGTTGACTGCATGCCAAATCATGCATTCACAAGCCTTTATCCAAGACATATGATCATGAACTTCGAGGCTTTGCTTTTGATTCATTCACGTGCAAGCTGGCTCCATATGGTTCTCACTACTACAATTACAAGCTAAGGAGGTGCCCCTGTGGTCCAAATCAGTCAGGTGTGCCGAAGGCCTCGCTAGTAATATGCCAGTTTTTTTAGTGACAACCAGAAATCAGAAATGGACCGTAAAATTAGGAAGTTAGATACCATGTACCAAGGTTATAAGAAGTAGCTGGGACCACTTACTATGTCGAATCACTAAATGCTAAAAAGATCGCTCTCCATCAAAATCATCCCCATAGCGCTCAGGAGACAAGGCCTGGACTAAGGCACATTCCTGATTGAGACATCATTAAAACAAAGTCACAGGCTTAAACCCATCCGCTCAGCAAAAGTAGACAGCAGTCAGCAAAACATCAGGGCAGAACTGGGTTATCAAAATAATCAATCACACTTCAGCTCTCCATCAAAATCCCACTCACCTATAGTCCTTCAAGTGCTGCTGTGATCAACAGAACTCCTCTGTCCTGGTTACACAAACTGTTTATGTGTTAACATATAGTTGTTTTCAACTATAGCTGCAAATGCCTTTCAGTGGTGATATCTGTGCATTCAGTCCTTTTCACTGCAGATCAGTCATTCTCTCTTTCTCTCTCCTATCCCTTGATCAGACACATTACAGCAAGACTGATAATGTCAATCACCAGAAAAACTTGAATAATGACAGTACAGTTGGATTTCATACACTATAATACCCTACCAAAGGTCAGTGCTTTGGTCATTAGCATGTCTATAGCTTGTATTTTCCTTGGATCTCTCCTAGAGTTATTGACCGACTATTAAGTCTGGTTCTAATTGGCCCTGACATTGGAAAGGGCAATGTCCTGCCACATTCGCCAGAAATCAGTCGTTTCTGTAAATATCACCGGAAGGTTTGAGCTAAATTTGGCCGCCAATGCTGGCAGAGTGCTGGGAATCGTACTGCTTCATTTCAAGTATTGTAAATTTTCAACTTGACCTTCACGAGATTTTGCTAAGACTGTGAAGGTCGTTCAACTGCATCGCAGGATCAGTTTCACCGTCACGTTTCCACTTGGTTAAGCGGCATAGTCATCATAACCTTGGCTGCTCAAGGTCAACAGCATGTCCATTTTGCATGTATCCAGGTGAAGAATTTGACCTTGAACTTTGAGGCTATGTCAAAGATCATCATTTGAAGGCATGAGGTTAATGAAGGATGTTTAGTTGAGGGCGGGGTGATGACATTCTTACAGCCTGTAACCAAATCCAGGTGAAACATTCTTGCAGCTGATGACCTTCATCAAAGGATCTACAAATCATGAAGCCAACACAGGGAAACAAAATCCCTCAATAGCAGAGGAACTCAAACTTCCTGAAGGACCCAGGAACCGTTCGTCCTGGAACAGTCCATGGAAACCAATAGTCTCTAAAGGATCCAGGGAAACCAACAATTTATACATCATCAACGGTCCAGGGAAACCCTTAATCCTTCAATGACCCAGGAAAAATCAATTAATCACTGAAAGACCCAAGAAAATCCTCACTCCCCCAACAACCCAGCAGGGAAACACTCAATTAATTAATATCCTCCAGACACTTTCTACTGAACAAATTCTGCTTTTGAAAAATTACTCTTCAAGCCTTAAACATTTTTCATCAACATTTAGAACCTTGGACCTTAACACAAATTCTTTGCCCGGTATTTTGACAAACATCCTACAAATATCACAAACAACCATCACTTTGATAATTCTGAATCCAGGAAAAAGTTTCATGGTCTGCCACGGTGCTGAAAACTACAAGACTTTCTATACCAGTAGTACTACAAGCACATTCAAGAATGATAATTATCTACCCATGCTGCTTACCCTATCCGTGAGGAATTCTTGCCTTTAATTTCTTTAAAACTTTAAGATTTTAAAATTCAAATTAAAAAAAAAGCAAAATTGACATCCTTCTATCAAGATACCCACCTCTCATATTGTCACAAGATGTTTCCCTTTTGAATCCTCAATGTAAGATCTCTCCCGACATGGTCCAAGGAGTTTGGTGAAAAGTTGTGCCTAGTACCATTAGGAACCACTGACTGGCTGCCCCTCTTCTCCACTG